AATAAGGAAAAAAGTTAGTTAACATCAATGAATATCCGGTAGATATCCTAATATCTACAAGTAATACCTACAAGAAAAGATAGAAGCTAGATCCTGCCTCCACCACACCATCACCCTATCAACTTCCATAGCAAGAATTTCTGGGGAGTAGGGATGGATGTAAACAAAACAGAACAACAGTGAAAATCTCCCTGAGGAGCTTGAAGGCAGGGATCCACAGCACAATTAGCTATGAATAAAATCTTAGCTATTTCTGGACTAATCATATTTACCTATAAAGTGTAGGGTATAATTTAAACATTGTTTATATACATTTCAGCACCTGAATAATTTAATGTATGATTTTCTTTTATCTTTCATGAATACATAGATAAATAATGCATGGTATATTTTACTCACCTAACATCACAGAAAATCTTCCTGTGTTATCTGGCTCTCCACACTTCCCAACTTTTGGAGCTTTGATCTAAATGTGTTAGAAAAATACCATCGCCATTATAATCTACTATAATCTTAATCTCACTCCAACAATATTAAAAATATAAAAAATTAAAATTTAAAAAAATTTTAAAAAACAAAAGAAGACATAATCCTTTTCATAGGAGCACAATGTAGATTTATGTATATCAATATTTAAATTATTTTAATTCCAGGGATAAAAGTATAAATGTAAAGTGTAACTTTGACATGTGAATGTAACAGTATAAAATCTAAATAGATTTGGAACTGGTGTGGCTGTCAAGTTAGGTGACCGCTGAACCTACATCTGAAATGTTCACTGATTTAGTCATTTTTATCTGACTGTGCAATGCAGTGGCATGGTTGACTGCATTAAAAGAACTTGCTAATCTCAGAGCTTCAGAAATGATAAAATTGTACATCGAATTCAGGATACAGGAGATACTGATAAAGAGTTCAAAATCATAAATCCAGTTTTATCAGCGATCACATCATGTTATAGATACTTAGATACTTGCTACCTCTCCTGATAGAAATGAATTTGAAAGGCAGGGACAAAAATCTAATTCAAATTCAAAAATGAATCTGAAAGAGAGGGACAAAAATTTGTGTTTGCAGCATCGACCATCGACCATGGAGCTTTATACCTACTCCAGGTTCAGTGAATGTTTACAGAAGAAATTGATGAATGATCAATAGAATGATTTCTTCAGGTGCGTGGGATTTTGTTCTGGCTGACTGTCCCATTCACTGCACATTATTTATGTATTGCACATTGCGTGCGTGTGTGCATGGTGTATGCGTGTGTTTCTTGTATTTTTGATTGCTCTCCTTTGTAGAACAGAAGCTGTTGGCAAGTATAGTCTCTGTGGGAAGCAGAATAGTGCCCCCTGCAAGATATCTGGGTTTGAATTCCTGGTATCTGTGAATGTGACCTTACATGGCAAAAGGGGCTTTGCAGATCTCATAAGTTAAGGATCTTGAGATGGGAGATTATCCTGAATTCTTTGGGTGGATTCAGCGCAATCACAAGGATCCTGAAAGTTAAGAGGGAGGCAGAAGAGGAAGTGAGAATGATGCCTCGCCAGGCCCCAACTTCCCCCTGTGAGTTTTGAAGATGGAGGAAGGGGCCCCATGAAAGGTGTGTGAACATCCTCTAGATGATGAAACAAACAAGAAAATAGATTCTCCCTGAGAACCTCCAGAAAGGAATTCAGCCCTGCTGACAACCTAACTTCAGCCCAGCAAGCCCTATGTCTGATTGTCGGGACTATGAAATAATAAGTTTGTGGTGTTGTAGGCCACTACGTTGGTGGTAATTTGTTACAGCAACAACAGGAAACTAATACAATCTCTGACACCTTTTTAATCTCCTGCAGCTTCTAACACTGTGTGTTGCACGGAGAGTCAGTTATCTCTTGTAGCTGATCGCTCTCATCACTTCCTCTTTATTCTCTCAGTGTTTACTACTCTGTCCATGCCGGAAGAGGACTGCAGTGGTCAGGATTTCTCTATTTGCAAATGACAGAAATCCAACATGAACCAGCTTGAGCCAATTAAAAAAAAAGAAAGAAAGAAAAGGAGGGGCACACCTCACACAAGTATGACCTCTGAGGGATGGCATTGGCTTTATTCCCAGCTGAGACTAGGGCCCATCAGCCCACGAAGCCTCTCTGTCAATTTGCTTTGCTTTTCTTCTGTATTCAGCCTCCTATATTTCCATGACTTGCAAGTTTTTCCTGGCAAAACTTCCCTCTTTCTTTCAGGGAAGAATTCTTATTTGACTACCTTTGTGGGTAGTGTGGTTGAAAATTATCTACTGACACATTAAAAAACACCCCAACATGTTGGCTTAAAATACAAACATTTCTTTTATTTACTTATGATTCTGAAGTTTGTGCAAGGCATGTCAGGGACAGCTCGTCTTCCCTCCATGTGACACCAGCTTGAGGCAGCTCAATTGGAGCTCAAGGATTCACTTCCTGGACAGCTTCTCCCATGCAAGTTACTGCTGTTTGTTGGCTGGAAGCTCAGTTGGGGTTGCTGGATGGAAGACTCAGTTCTCCTTCACATGACCTCTCCACATGACTAGGTTGGGCTTCTCATGGTCTGGCAGTCTTAGAGTAGCAGGACTTTGTATGTAGCAACTGACTTCTTCCTGAGAACAAAGTGAAAGCTTCCAGTTCTTTTAAAGGTGTAGCCCAAAACTGATACAAGGATACTCATGCCACATTCAATTGATTAAAGCAGATCACAGGGCCAAGTTCAGATTTATGGAGAGGAGACTGCATACTCAAGGGCGTGAATACCATTGTCATGGTTTACTGCGGCCACCGGACTGTGGGTTTAGTCTACTATGGTGGATAATGAACCTTTGTGACTAATGGTCTAAACAGGACCATGGAAAAATGGGAGGGCAGGCTCTCAAAGGAAACAGGACTGAAAACAAACCTCCAGTATCCATGGCAACCATTTCCTAGAGTGCTAGAAATTATTCAATAAAGCAAAGCTATGTTTCTCTTTAAGTGTATTTACTATATAATTTGTACATTTTCTGGATTTGGGCAAGTAATTAAAAACTTAGGTTTAAAGTTAAAGACTCTCAAACGTTTCTCCCTTTCAACTTCTATTTTACTATGAATGAAAACGATGGTGATATGTAGCAAACAGTGATCTAAAGGAATTAACTTGTGCAGGATTCGTGATAAATAAAGTATAATGTTCCTAATCCAATGGTGGTTATTTGCCATAACCTTTTTAATGTGACAATTCTTTGGCCTACATCTGCATTTTTATAGTTTGCATTTATTCTCAACAGTATGAATCCCAAATTGTCAAATTACTTAGGCTGATTTATGATAATTAGCTTTAAGTTAGAATATTTGAAATGCATTCAATTAATTTTATCTGTGTAGTGAAGTACAATACGGATTTTAGCATTACAAAGTTTTCTTTATAATATTAGCTATGCATTTGTTAAAGGACATGGTGGACTCAAATTACTCTCATTTGAATTTTATATTTAGAAAATGAGCATGCAGTATTAGAGATTAGGCAGTATTTAGAAAATGCATGTAGAAGGATTATCTAGGATGGAATCACTGAAAATCCTGGAATATTTAGCACACACTTGTTGATTGATTTTACCTGCAGCAAATATGAGGCAATAACAACTGTGTAAATTATTTAGAGACTAGTCATCTGTATGGGGATTCCTTAAAATCATTTCAGAAAACAATTTGGCAGGGTATTTCCTTTATACTTATTTTTTCCAAGTTCATGTACAAAAGAGATATAGATCCATACAAAATGGATTATCACTGATTCTTTTATAATGAAATTAAATATTTTAAAACATTCAAGTGACGATTGGGTGATCTTTCCTAGCTAAAGCTTTCTTCGGTAGTTTATTTATCTTAAACATTATTTTTGTCTTTCAAAGGGTATTATATAGTGAATGTAAGACATTTATTAAAAACCTTGGATTGCTTGAGAGTGCTTTAGAACTTTGCCTTAAAATTCTGATATTATGAGTTGGGATTTCCAGTGTAAGAGGATTTCAAATCACTGCTGAAAAAAGGGCTTGTTAGAGATTTCTAAGCGTCCTATGTCAGAAAGGCCCAGCTACTTACACAATCGCTGAAACTAAAATGGGGCAGGACCAGACACATGGAATGAAAGAGACCAATTTAGACCAAGTGAAAGGGATCAACTTCTCTTAAAATGAGCCTTTTATTCTAGAGAGATATCTTATACAGCTCCAAAAGCAGGTAGAATAATCAGCATTTACATAGTTATGGATCTCTTTGTATATGGAGATGGGAATTATTTTTTAAAGATTTCCATTGTTTAAAGCAGTCAGAGACATCGTGTTGGGAAGAGCAGATATTTTAGGTGTTTATAGACATGCAGTTAGAGACCCCAAATATTTACTTACAAGTCATGTGACCTTGAAACGTTCAAAATAACCTCCTCACCCCCCCCCCCCCCCACCATAATAACATTTTCGGGTATCAGTCCTGCACTCTCTTGGGGTTGTTCTGAAGATCCAATGAGAGAATACCAAAATGCTTTACACACTACAAAGCATTATGTTATTAAAATTTATATTATCACTACTAATAATAAAAATAAAACATGACTGGGTAACTGGCCTATACATGATGCATTTAAAAAGTCCAAGTAGATTGGAAGTGTCTTATTTTTACAAACATGTTCATTCCAAAAGTATACAAGGTCCAAAGTAGTTCATGCATTTCCCTCCTATTATTTTTAAAGTACTAACCCTTATTTTATTGACTTGCAGTGGACACAAAATCTGGAGAGATGACTGGACACATTTTTCCTGAATAGTTGGGGATTATATTTTATTAACTGTAACCCAGAAGGGTCACGGCTGTTTTTAAAGAGAAATTTGCCTCTTGCTATGGTTTCTTGAGATGATCAGTATCTGGTTTTAGGAGGTTTGGCAATGGTGTTGGGTGTGTGGGGCTGGTGGGATATTTTTGTTAATGGTTTGTTTCTCTGTGTTTCTCTCCCAGCTATCGGCAGGACCCTCATCCCCCGTTACTTTAGCACTGTGTTTGAAGGAGGGGTGACCGACCTGTATTACATTCTCAAACACTCGAAAGAGTCATACCACAACTCATCCATCACGGTGGACTGCGACCAGTGTACCATGGTCACCCAGCACGGGAAGCCCATGTTTACCAAGGTACAGGACAGGCTCTGTCACATGCCCGGCTTTTCCTACTCTGAGTGCATTAAAGAATAATAATTATGGTTTTCCTATGGAACCTGGGGCTGATTGCTGGTCTCCCAGATACTTTCAACACCATGAGAGAATATTCCTTGTCTGTGACATGGCTTGACTCTTGGGGTGAACACTGTTCTAAGATGTGTGCATGAGATACTGAGCACATGAAAATCAAAGAGGAGGGAGCCAAAAACTAAGAGGAAGAGAGGTTCTACTGCCTTTTAAATTTTAGTTGCTAGATTAGAATTGTTGTTTTATACAAAATATCTACTATAGCTGAAGGAACATATCCTGTTTTTGCGTGGTCAGCATTGTATTTGTGCTTTGTTACTGAAATAACTTTTTGGAGCTGGATTCAAATTTGAATAAGGGAAGAATCCTCTAACCATGACCCAACTGTAATCTGTAAAGGAACATAAAAACTTTAAAATGTCAATGAAATTAGGGAATTCAATAAGCAGCTGAACAAGTATACCTATAAAAGAGTGAATGAGGGGAGGTCAAGTGTCAGGATCAGATTATCACAATGTTTGAGGCTGAATTCAAAGCCCCATGGAGGCTGTGAAATGAAAAACAGAAGAGACAGATCTTTAACCTCATCTTCTATACATTTTAGATCTACGATCCTTGCCCTACATAGAAAATTGACATATGGAGTGTTCCCTCTCACCAAAGACCTTTCTGGAACACTACAGATAATCTCTTTATGTCTTTTTGCAGGTAGAAGAATTAGTAAGAACAAATATTTAATCACAGAATCTGACAAACAGAAGTTTATTTTAATGAACACTAGTTCACTGCATTTTGACTAACACTCAACATGAAACTAATTTGTGATATTAATGATAGCAGCTATCTCTTTCAGTTCAAAACACAAATGACAACCCTCTCTTTATGCTTAAGAGAGGTTGAATCATCAGGGTTAACTGCAAAAGCCCAATGTATGAAACTGAAGATGCGTTTATTACTTATGCAATTTTGCTGCAAGAATAAAAATATATTTATTCATTGATCTTGTTGGTATAGTTTCATCTCTCCAGTGCCCATGCTGGTGTACAAAACCAAAGGCAAAGGAAATGGTTATAAAATGCAAAAACAAATCATCAAATACCATTGATTCTATGGCATCTTAATTTTGTCAGTAGACTTTTTAAAATGTAGGAAAGGGTAGGGTTTTTCTTTCTTCCTGGTCTAAACAGGCAGAGAGGAAAGTTGTCATTCAGAGACAAAGAAGCTTCACACTGGATGCAGAAGTCCTGGCTGGCAATAGACTTTTGCTACATGGAAAGTAATGATCACCTGAATGATGGTTTAATCTGTCCATGTCTCACTTCATTCTGGAGATGCAGAACATTTACATAATCTTGTAGATCAGAGGGACATGCAAGCCATTCATTTTGCGAGCCATTCATTTCTAGTGTTACAAAGTCTTAGCACTGCAGAGAAAGCCTTTCTCTGCTGCTTCCTTATTGTTTTTTTTTTTTTTTTCTTTTTTCCTCTAGGCTTAGTGTTTATTTTTAGGTAATTCAAGAGAAACATACCAACTCCTTATGCTGTAAGGGGGAAAAAAAATCCATGATAATTAAATTAAAAGCTTTGCTGTAATTAAGGAGTTGCTTCCAAAGCCAGTAGCCATTGAAAATAAAAATGCATTTTGTCGTAGTCCTTTTATATATTTACTCAGTTTCTTTCTTTCTCAGGCCAAAACTGATTCATAAATGAACATAGCTTCTCTGAAGGTTTAGTGCTGAACATTTGGGACTGGTTTTAGATAGAAAAGAATCCCATTCTTCTGACAAATCGATAAAGTGTTATTTTCATTCAAATCCAGAAACTAGGGTTTTCCTGTGTTGCATTCTTTCTTATCCTGAAATTTTCCTCTCAGATGGTTGAGTGGTTTGTTCAGGTGTCTAAGGCAGTCACCAGAAAGACCTGAGCACTCCCCTACACACAGCTCCCTTGCCCCAAGCAGCAATTGTTTGGACCACCCATCTGACGCGACTCCAAGGAAGTATATTTGCCGACTTTTGAAATGAATATTTCCATACCGTGATGAAAAATATCACTTTCTGAGAAATGGAGCTCAGTTACGTGGACTTAGTCCAGATGCTAATTATGCACATTTATTTTTAGGAAATTTGAAAGGATCCATTTTTTTTCTTTTTTTCCTCTCTCGATTTTTTGGTTTTTGTTTTTTTGCTCCTTGGTGATTATTATAATACTCAAAAACCTTTCCAATATTATTGTTCTTATATTAATTAAAAATAACTCATTTACATGTAATAAAATATTATGACTGTTTACTACAAAACAGTGGGCTAATGACCTTTCAGACCTTTTTACAAAGAAAAAGGGTCCAGAAGCCAATGCTTATTTTTAAAGGGAAGCCTGCTATTAGTACTTAGCATACTGTGTGCAGGCAGCATCGCAGTGTTCTAATTTAGGCTATCAATAAACTCTCATTCCCCAAATAGCATTTGACCCAGTGGTTCTGAGTTGCTTTTATGAAAATTTGGTCAACTCGTGATTCAAAAATCAGCTGCAATCCTAATCAACAGAAATATTAACTATTCCTCGGGAGTATCATGAGCATTTTGCAATTTCCTGATACCAGGAACATTATCGATTATGGATAAATGTGTAATTAGAATTTTAAAACACACATTATAAAGCCTTTCTTTTGTGTTTTCAGTTTTTTAATCAAACGGAAAACAAGGTTTAATAATCAGAAGAGCAGACACCAAGGTTTTCAGAATTTAAGACTCCGAGTAATATTTATATTTGAGGATGTGAACATTGGTGGATTCTGGGGAGGAACACTTTCTAGGGTACATTCTTGGGGTTAATTTTAGATTTTACAAACCACAACAAAGTTATGGCCATTACTGGACACTCTTATCATCTCTATAAAGATTGGTTGATGTTTTCTCTGTTCTCAATTTGTTATTATGAAAGTATTTACTACTACAGAGAAGTACCATGGAAGTGCACCCACCAGTTTTTCTATATGAATACTTACTTATGTCTTTGACAGTTCATCCTTCTTACCTTAGCCTGTATACCACATTATATTTCAGAATTTCTACTCTTCTCCTGACTCTAACCAAGTTATAATATCAATGATCAGATCATGTGTGTGTTTGTGTGTGTGTGTGTGTATATATATATATATGTATAATGCATATGTATGTATTTACATATGAAGTACCACTAAGGAAAATACAATGAGCTTTGCACAACTGTTAATCTAAAAGCACTACTCCATGCATGCTGTTCCAAGCATACAAACTAAGAAAATTATATAAACACTCCCACTTAACAAGCACACTTGATTTCATCAAAGCTATATGAGAATCATTGTATTATACAGCTAAATATACAGTCAATATTGCGTTACAATTAGCCAAAGAAAGAAAAGGGTTAAAAAGCTACTGGTTAGTTTGAGAAATGTTCTTTTTTAGTTCTCTTGTTCCTGGCCTAGTCTCAAGCTAGCACGTGATCGGCTGAATGCCTGCCAGCCTCTTTCTTGTTGATCCTCCGGAGACCATCTGTACTGGGGGCATTGATTAGAGTGTGTCTGCTGGGATTACATCTTTTCTGTTGCCATGCCAACTAATCAGCTGATTTTGGTTACCACAGAAACAAAATGTCAGAGCTCACAGTACGGTAACATGAATTCAGCACAACAGAAAATGTTTTCTTAATTGGGGACCCTTTTGATTTTGGATTCCAAGTGAAAGGCATCTTTTTTTTTAAAAAAAAAAAAGGCCGACTTCAGATAAAAGCTACATTAATTGTATTGATTAAGAGGAATGCACAGAATTTTTCTGAAGAGAGAATATGTTAATTCCCTTTTATAGGCTATGCCTGTTTTTTATAATTTCTAAATAGGAAATACGTATATATTTTCTCTTATTTGCCTCCATTCCATTTGCTGGCTGTTGCATGTAAAGCAAATCACAAAGCCTTTGGTTTCCTTTAATTTCTATGATGGGTACAGGGTGTGGAGTGGCTGTCTAGGCCCTGGAAGGTGTGGGTGTAATTACTTGGGGAAGACCAGCCGTGACCAAAATCCTCCTCTGACCTTTCATTCAAGGAAGTCATTTATTTTTCCTTAAAGAAAACATAGTCAACTCAGATTTGATTCTAAGGATTCCTGCCTTGCACATGCTATACTCCAGTTAAACCCTTGGTTTTGACTGAAAATTAGAGGAGCCCAAGGCTTGCTGCAATTTTCCATTTGTAGGCCCATGACAGTTTGACTGCAAGAAAGGTCCCCAACTAGCTCACTCTGTTACTGTGAACAAAGGACACAATTTAACTTGACCTTACAGATGCTCCAATTGAGTCATCTGTCAGTAGGACTACATACATGCTTTCTCATTATGAAATTCTCTCCCAATAGAAGTAAACCAGACCCTTCACCTGCCCTGCGTTTGTGGTTCACAAATGCAAAACAAATATACTAGATAATTTTTTAAACGCTGACATTTAACTAAGCTAGTATTTGTTTAAATATCCAATAATCTCGCCCTTTAAAAAGAGGATTATAGCATCCAAATATCCCTGTCCTGTTTTTGTCAAGACATTTCACTGTTGATGGCTCCCCATAGCTACCTCCCTTTTGTGAAAGCTGTCACCACAGGTGGCTTCTGTCATGCCGACACCCCAGGGGGAATTGTGTGGCTTAATCTCCATGCAACTCTTTTTAATGTCTTGGTAAATTAATTCCAAAGTTGATGATGCTCAAGGGGAGAGGTTTGGGGACACTGAAGTCTTCTCCCATTTCTATGCACTCAACTCTCATGGCTGAGACACCAGAAACAAGGCTCTGAAGACTACACAGTCAAGGGGTTTCAAGGCAAGGTGCCCACATGCCTGAGTTTACCCACAGATCCTGCTAATTGGATCTGAAGCAAAGGTCTTCACCCAGATTATCAACAATTATCCCACAGTGTCTCTGAGATCTTTGATAAGACAAAGATGGCACACATTAACAGCATCTTTCTCGAGTAGTGTCCCATCAACACTTGTTAGTAATTCTTCTGTACTGGCATTTGACTTGTTGAAAGAACATGTTACCTTCAATTTGAGCGCATGGAATGCACCCAACCCAGTCCTGTGGACCAAGTTGCAACCCAATTAGTGATGGTGTTTTGTATTAAATTTCCAAAGAAGAAAGTAATTATTAATATTTCATAAAAGGCTGATATAAATTGTTCACTATCTTCATGGACTGTAGTTTTACAAATACTTACATTCTCTCTTCAGTTAATTAATTTTTACTTATTCGTTTATTTGTTTTTGAGTGTGTTTTTTCAAGTGTCTGGAGTATTGTATGTTTGTTTTTAGTCTAGGAAATCTTTCTCCAAAAAGCTTGATCAGAAGCCCAATGCAGTAAAAAACTGAAAAATCAAAGCTGCTCAGTGAAATCCAGAAAGTCAATGAGGATCTCAAAGCCGAGATGGAGGCCCAGTTCCTCCCAGCAGAGCCCCTGAGATGTCGCCACTAGTGAAGCCCTAGGTCTCAGGTGGCACACGATGACCATTACTGGTCTAGGGCTTTGTGTTTTCTTGGGTAGCATTCTTTTTATCTGCAGTGCTATCATTTACTGCTATCCTACTACATGCCAGGCAGAATTCCAGGTAGCCTACGTACATAACTTTATTTAATGTATTTTCCTAACATCCTTACCCAAGGATATTTCTATTTCCATTTTACAGATGAGAAAAACTGGAATTTGGGGAATTTATTAGATTTTCCCCAAATTTCCAGAATGAGTAAAAAGTAGAATTGGGATTCAAAACCAGTACCCTCTGATGCCAAAGTATGCACCCACTATTTTGTACTGCTTTCCTAGGGCAGAAATGGTCTGATTAATGAGTTGTAACTATTTAAACTGAACCAATACACTACCGCCACTTCTAGCTCAGAGTTGACATAGGCTCAGTGGTTTGTGATTGCCTAGCACTTTCTTTGATTTCAAAGTTGTTAATAGCGAAAGGAATGGTAAATAAAATAGGAACTACACGCTAAAAATGCTATGAATATAAAAAAAGATTAAAATGCTACTCTGTCACTGATTACTCTATCAAGGAAGAGACCCTTCAAAATTCTATTATGTTTCATTAATAATATATATTTTTCTTAGAAAGATAAAGTGTCCCATCCCCCTAAGACTGGCCTTTTATGCTAGCAGAATTTATCATTGCTGATGTGCTGAGATTCAAGGAATATACTCTTGACACATACCTCTATTTTCCACATGTCAGTAACTGATACTAACTGCCTTGGGTTAAGCATTGTCCTCTGGAATTTCATTTTCGAAATAAAAACTTCCTCCAGTTGGATCAAGTTGTAGTAACTTACACTTAACCATGAATGAGTTTATTGGGTACTTTGTCCCAGAGTAGGATAACCAAGATTAGAATAAGAGCTCAAGCCTCTGTGGTTGAAGGATGATGAAAGTGGAGGAAAACTTTTTGACCCAATGTCACTATAAGATGGGTTTTATCTCCATATTTACAGATGAAGAAACTGAGGGTCATAGAGTTTCAGCAGTAAATAGTAGAATTACTAGCACATCACAGCCAATAAGCAGCTGTACAGTCTCTTGAACCCACTGATTTTAGAGCTGACATTTGTACCATGTGCAGTGGACACATCACTTGTGTCACATCTTTACCAAGAGCTAGCACTGCCCAAGGACAGAAAGGGAGACCACGCTGAGTAGCTGATATGTGAGTTACAAAAAGTGGCTTTCACAAAGTGCATAATGAATGACTGTTGTTTGTCACTTCTAGGTGTGTACAGAAGGCAGACTGATCTTGGAGTTCACCTTTGATGATCTCATGAGAATAAAAACATGGCACTTTACCATTAGACAATACCGAGAGTTAGTCCCGAGAAGCATCCTAGCCATGCATGTAAGTAATTTAATTTCTGTTTTGCTTTCTTTTTTTTTTTTTTTTTCCTCCTTCATTTCACTCAAGGGGAAAAACCCAGTCCTCTCTCTGTGAAAGAATTCCAGTAGTTGTCACGCTTTAGGTAATTAACTCTAAATATTGAGTTTTGTTCTCAACCATTTTAATCCACAGGCCCTTTTCTCCCCTTTTTCTTTCCAAGATTGGTACATTGTGTGACTGTTTTTTTATATTTTATTATTTTGAACTCCAAATTGAGGTTACTTCAATAAACAGTTTGTACTTTTCTTAAATTCCATTCAGTCATTATCAATTACTGCTCTGCTTGGGCTAATAAACCTGTTACGTATAACTGGGGAATGAAATAAAACAAGAAGTTAGGAAAACAGTTTCCAGTTTTGATTAGAACCATCTGATGGGACATGGGACTCCTATATCTTCAGATTCGTGTCAGAAGTTGGTCCTCCCTGATCACGGTGCTAAATTTGAAGTGGAATATTTTGGCTTCTGTTGGTTTTGTTTGACCATAAATCACATCAAATTTACTGAGCACAAATTAGGTGCAAGTGTGGGTTCTATGCCAATCTAGAGATGTATTTTAAATGTAAGTAGGAACTAGTCAGGTGCAATCTCTTAATAAGTCGTCAAAGGCATCAACTTAAATTTAAGTCTCTCCTCTATAATACATGATGCTTCCATGAAAATCTTTGGAGCAAAATCAGACTTCATAAGCCTAATTTTAAAGACCATGAACAATCAAAAGAAAATAACGTAACAGTAACTACCATTTCCTGATTTTTTACTCTGCCAGGCCTTCAGCTAAACATTTTGTGTATCTCATGCTATTGAATTCTCACAGTCAGGCAGAGAGTTGAGCTAGTATTATTCCTACTTTAAAAGTGAGGAAACTGAGGTTCAGAGAATCAATAAGTTGCCCCATGTTTTTTAGCCCAGAAGTAGCAAAATCAAGATTTTGTCCGCGGTGGTTCTAACTTTGTCTCCCAGCTGTCCCATTCCCGGCTATTTCTCCACACATTAGTTGTCAGCCACCTCTTTCTGACTAGTTAATGCAAGCTCTGCCTTTCCCATTAGCCTTATTCTTTTTGTTGTGGCACCCCACTTTCCTGCTCCATGATTTCTGGCTGTTTATGCTCCAAGCCCTTGGTTTTTAAAGCTTAGTTTACATCCTCCACTCTCTCCGAGGAAGTCTGGAATATTCACTTCCAGTATTCTCAAAATAGACTAAAAGGCAGCAAAGGATAATAGTTGGGAACCTGGGCCCTGGACTGAGACCACATAGGGTTGGACCCTTGCTCTTGGATGAGTTTGGGCAAATGATGTGACATCTCTGTGCTTCTAGTCCCTCATCTATAAGATGGGTACAGTAATAAAGCATGTTTCAGATCATCAAATTAAGAGTTAATGACTGTAAAGCACTTAGAACAATGCCTGGCCTATAGTGTGTCCTCTACGAGTTTCGGCAATTGGCTGTCATCATCATCAGTAGCCACAGCAGCAGGAACAAGATTTTTGCATTCCTTTATTATTAGCTTTCCTCTCTTCTGACTGAAATGTAAGTTCCTTGAGGTTGACCCTGACTACTTGATAGAACAAACTCTTCTTAGCACATCAGAGTGGTTTAAGAATATAGGCTCAATGTCAGGGAAGACCTCTTTTAGGAAATTGACATGAAACTGACATGCTCTGTTTTCTCCTGCATTTTTTATTTATCTACACAAATCCAATTGGTAGTATCACTATGAGAAAAGGTATGTACAGAAAAGAATAAGTCACATTAGTATAACCTAGTCTCACGAAGGCAGACGTGGAGACAAGGGGATGTTTACTTCCCTCTCCCTCTGTTTAGTGCCAATTTGCTTATATCAATTAAGGAAGAAGGAAAGGCAAACAGAAAGAAAGAACATCAACCAAGAGACTCATTTTAAAATGGATCCCAGAAAGAATTTTCATTTTCTTCTAGCCAAACAGAACATTTGGTGTGGCCCATGGTACTTTACATCCCTTCTTAAAATGTGGCTGACATTTTGGAAAATATGATACTTACTCTTACAGTCCTGCAGGATAAAAATTGTTGGGGATATCTATTTCCAGACTAGCTTAATGGGGAGGAGAGTTAGAATTCTCTGTCTCTCCATATATATACGTGTGTGTGTGTGTGCGTGCGTGTGTATGCGTGCGTGTGTGTGTGTGTGTGTAGTTCGAGTCAGTGGCTAAGTTTTCCAATACAGCCCTCAACCCCAGGCTGTAAAAACACCACCACTATTACAGCAGGAAACAAAGACCAGTCCTGAAGCATGGATCTGCCCAGTCCAGGGGGACTGGCTTCTCTCTAAAGAGGGCATTAGACCTGGAGCTCTCCTGGCAGAGTTCTGTGACTCAGGCTGGAGACCTGAGTGCCAAGGCCTCTCCAAGAGGAAGTAATGTCATTTCTCCCAAGGACTGAAAGCACATCTGAGCAGTTTGGTTTTTCCCCAGTCTTGCACAATTGATCTGAAAATGTCCTTGAGTGTTATATGCAAGTGTCTTCGAAATGTAAATTAAATTACCTCCAGCAGCCTGCCCTCCAAATAAAATCGACAATGTCGGGATTACATTTCCTTAGCAGCTGTAGCACAGTCTGAGATTTTCTCAGGACCATCCTGTAGTGATAAAATACATGTGGGGTTTTTTCTCCATTTAGGCACAAGATCCTCAGGTCCTGGATCAGCTGTCCAAAAACATCACCAGGATGGGGCTAACAAACTTCACCCTCAACTACCTCAGGGTAAGATCAATCGAATGATTTTATGTTTTGGTGAGTCTGAAAAGTACTCCAGAGGTTTATATGCATCCTGACCCAAGAAGTTAAAATGAGGTACTGGTAATATAGCACAGTGTCTGTGTTCTGTACCAGATGTATGTGTGTGTGTGTGTTTTCAATGGAGGACGGGGTTTAATTAACAAAGCATCAAACCTGGAATTTGTCAGGGTTCAGTCCTATATCTATATGTCTCTTGGAATTAATTATTCAAAGGCTAGCAATGTCCCATTGTCACAGAATGCTTTGTTACTGCTTCCCTTGTTGTTGTCTCAAGTTCAAATAGGTTATTGGTGAGTTCACTGCCCCTATGCCTCCAGCCAGGCACTGGTCATCCCTTAGGAGAATCAATATACTGCCCCAAAGAGTCTCCTGAAGAAATCCAATCCCATGCTGAAACACAGGTATTTCTAAGGCTTCATAAGGACTCTCTGCACAACATGTAACAGATTTGGTGGTGGGTAAAAGAAGGAGATTCTTTCTCTCTACAGCCTAGATGCCCGAGGGCCAAATCCAGGCCTGACAACAGCCAGAATCAGCTGTACTCCCCACCCGCCCATCCTCATGCCCATGCCATTTTGGTGGCCCTGAACCACTAAAGAGCCCACTGGTCTCTGCTCAGAAGGAAACCAAAGTCAGCCCAGGAGTATGGGTGGACGGCGGGTGCTCCCAGCCAGGGTAGCTAGGGCTATGACCTCCCAAACCTCCGGTCTCCGCAGTCAGAATGGCTCTCTTGCGGGGCAACTGACATAATGCGGATGGGTGGCGAGGCCTGGGGCGTGATGGTCTATGAAGTTGTTCTCTCCACAATTCAGAAGGCTGCTCTGTACTGCTAGGCATATCATCTTGTCAGGGACCAGGAGAGTTTTAGTTTAAAACAGGGAAGATGCTCTTCCTCCTGCAGATAAAGAAGTTCCACACTATGTGTCCTCAGTTGACCCCACATAGGAAGCTGGGACTTTGAAGTCTATCCTAGACTTGGTCACTCACCCTATAGCAAGATCTTGGACAGATTCTTAGTTACATCTTTTAGCTGCATTTAACACAGATTAATAAACACCAAATTTCCTTCCTTCTCCTCCCCACTCCTCTTATTGTCATCTGTCAATGGTTGACTTTCACCCTGTGGTCAAGGCCCACCAGGTCCCCACATCCTGTGGCCCACAAAGACTGAGGTCAGACCTGTGAAAGGGAAAGAAGGCACTACCCCTCTCCTGACAATGATAGCAAGGAAATCATGTGTGGCTTTTGGCAATAGGGAGTAGTGTTTTGAGGCTTCCACATGAACACAGTGCTTGCTGCAGGTCAGGTTCTTTGCTGTGTATCTTGTGACTGAAGTAGTCTCATAGCGGACCCTGCACCCCATTACCATCCCTGTAGCAAAGTGAGGCAGCGAGGGTTTCAGTAAGTGAAGTAAGTCTCCCAGCTTTACATACAAGTGGCAGAACTGGGACTTGAACTCAGGCAGCCTGACCCTAGAATCCATGAGCTCCACCGCAGAATGCTGCTCCCTTGCTAGTGAGCATGGGAGACTGATGACATTGATAGGAATTGGGTCATGTCTTTCCTGCCTTCGCTAGAGTCAGCATCTATCAGTGAGCCTTCGTTCACTTTGCCAAAAATAACATCAGCTCCTTGTAGGGTTTAGTTCCAGGATTGGGTCAGACAGTCCATGTAAAGGGCTTAGCACAGGGCCTGGGGACAGAAAGTGCCCCGTTTGTGTTCATTCTCATCATGTATTGAGCACCTTCTGTGTACCCATCATTGTTTGTTGTGCTGGAGCCACGCAGAGAAACACAGCACCCACTCTCTACTCTCACTCTGGGAGAGTCTAATGCTACTTTGTTTCCTGACTTGCACATCGTGGTTCAGTAGCTATTTACCTTCCCTGCCTTCATTCCATTCCTTTTCACTCACTCGTTATTCCTGGCAGTTTTCCAGTTGCTGGGTTTCATGGTGGAGCTATGGCCTCTGTCCTCAGTTGGTAGTCACAGGCTGGTGGGATGTGGTCAGCTGTGGTTCCAGTGAAGCGTTCTGAAATAGAGGGAGATGCAAAGCCAGAAATAGCCCAAGGAATGATCCTCAGGTCTTAAGGAGCAGCTCAGGATAGAAGTCATGCTTCCTAGTCACAATCCTTCGGGCTGACGTGGGCCACTTGATAGGTCATGGCTGAGCAGAATCTCAAACTCATTGCCCAAAAGCAGTGAACATGGGCTTCTGTGGTGGTTATCCATATGGGGTAGGTCACTGAGAATGACAAAGGTCATTTCTTCCATTTAGTACTGGGATTTAAGATTCTTCTAGTAGCCTTATCATCTAATTTTTTTAAGACAGTGGAGCAATCACAAAATACATTCATTTATAAAGTTGCCTTAAGATCCGAAGCCTCCACATCCATCTGAGGGGGCTGGCTTTTGCCTCAAGCCCCAGAAGGTCATCTGAAGTATTGTGCAAATAAGGTAACAAGAAGCTTCAATGCCACTCCCAGTATCAGAAAAAGAGGTCAAGTGGATATGTTGGTAAATATGAATCCAAAGCCTTCTATGCAGTTGAAGAACTTTAAAAACGGATGCATCCTGCTTTGGAAAGGATGGATAGAGATTTTAAAGGCTCCAGACATTGAAATTTCAATATGCAGTGTCTAACATAACAAAATTAAGCAGAGCAGAAAGTAGGCAATTACAGCCATCTAGCTTCGTCAAAACAAGTTCATTTATTCCGGTGAAATTCTAATCATTCTCACGGAGACCTGCAGTGAGGAAATACACAGAGCTGACCGAATGCGGCTCTCACCTTAGAGGGAGGAGCAGGTGAGACCCTGAGGATGACCAAGCTGTGGACATTGTGAATGCAGATGATGGGGCTGAACACAGACACTCGCCAGCAGCACTCTGGAAGGGACACTGGTGACCTGGTACTTTTGAAGTGACAACAAGAACAGCTGTTGCCATTTGATTTGGGTTATCAAATCACCTGCTGTTCCCTCTTGTTGTTCCCTCCTGTTGCATCCCAGCATGACAAGGTTAGAGGTGCCCTGAGCTAAGAGGTGCAACGATGGCTGACTCAGTGGTCCCCGTGGAGCTACGACTGGAAGTGGCTGAGTCTGCGGAGATGGCGCTCTGTCACAGTGCGGTCTCACTTCCTCTACAGGATGCCTCTGTGACCTCTGGAGGGGGCTGGGACTTGCTGACTGAGTGTCCCTGTAGTAGTTATCCAAGCCAGAGCTGGGAAGGGACCTGCAGGATGGGGAAGTCATTATTTTGTGGCTGTTGGGTATTCCAATACCAGGTGGTGGGTTTCACGAAGCATGTCCTCGGTGTACTGGGGCATGGGGAGATGGCGCCTTTCAGTAAGCAGCACGCTCTAGTGCTAGAACTTGAGCACTAGAATGGGAGAAGCAAGCCAGGAACTCGGAAATGTGTCCTTTCCCTCGTTTGCTGGGAAGCAGAAGTCCTGTTGTCCGCCTGGCATTTTACGAAGGGATCCAATTCAGCAACCATGAGAAGGCAGTGCAGTTTAGTGATCATTGGTTCATCCAGGTCAATGAGACCTGGCTGTGGAGCCTTGTCAGCTACCACCAGATCCTGTTTGCCCATTTATTCATTGTTCATTTCACAAGCATTTCTAACACACTTTCTTTGTGCCAGGTCTCTGCCCTCAAGGAGATCACTGCCTAGAATGTAAGAAAGAAAAACAAATACACTCTTGGAGAGAAATTGTTCCCAGGTGCAGTGAGAAACATAGTACTAGCTAACATTTCTGGGGCACTTACTGTGTGCCAGGCATTGCTGCTATGTGCCTTGCAGGGACTTTCTTTCTTTCTTTCTTTCTTTCTTGCTTGCTTGCTTGCTTGCTTGCTTGCTTTCTCTTTCTTGCTTTCTCTCTCTCTCTCTCTTTTCTTTCTCTCTTTCTTTGTCTTTATTTTTTCTTTAAATACTCACAGCATCCATATGGAGTAGGAGCTATTTTTAGTCCTATTTTACAGGGGAGAAAACTGAGGCACAGAGAAGTAACTTCCCAAGGTCACAGAACTGGTAAGTGGCAGATCAGGGATCTGGACCCATGATCTGATTCTAAGCACAAAGGACAGAGAGGTTGTTAGAAGGTAGGAGAGGAAGGCTGCAAAGTCTTCATAGAGGAGATGGCCCTTGGATTGATTCTAAAAGATGAGTAGGTGATCATCAGGCAGACAAGGCAGAGGACAGTCCAAACACAGGGCCACTGTGAAAGGAGTCAGAGAAGGGTGGAGAGTGTTAGTGGCTTGGGGAGCTCTAGGAAGTTTCACATAGTTAAAATATAAGTTTCAAGTTTGTTTTAGGTACCAACACAGGTAGGTGTTTTGAGCCAAAACCATATACCCTGGCTGAGTGGTGTAATTCAAGAGATTTTGTTTTTCCAGTAACAGCATGGTCAAGATAAGCACCCTCTCACTGTGACATGGGCTTGGGAGTAAGTTAAACAGTATGTATCTGAGAACATCATCTTCTTACTAGCTGTGTGACCCTGGGCAAGTTGCTTGACTTCTCTGAGCCTTCATTTTTTCATCTGTGAAATGAGCTACAGCATCTCTCTCGCTAGGTTCTGGTAGGATAAATGCACGCAGAGCTTTCATTACTCATTCACCAAGGTACCTTTGTAAATGCTCTGGTCCTTTTTTCTGGGTAGAGCACATCAGAATCTTTTATTGAATTCCCCTGTATGCAGAGCTCATCAGAAGGACTCTGTGGGTCAACACATACAAGAGTTGATCCTTCTTCCTTAATTCTTGCCTTTCATCAGAATGAAAGTTTCTTCTAACTCAGTTTGAAATTGCCATCATTTCAAATTTCCAATATGAAATTCTTATATTTGAATGTTTACTGTATGCAATAACCATGTTTTCTTTAAGTAGCTTTAAATAATAAGATTTTAAAATTGAAGAAGTAATTGGTGTCTATTTTATCCTCAACAATATAAAGAAAAGAGGG